TCTTTGTTTCTCTCTCCCCCAAACTCCCCCAGCCATTTGTGAGGAACCACACGACTGGCTGAGTACCTGACACCAGGCATTGAACTTCCCAAATCAGGCTTGTTAGTTGTGCTGGGGTCTTGTGCTGCCTAGAGTGCAGCTGTGCCCAGTGGCATTTAAACAATGTGCCTAGCCTGAGGTCCTGTCTCCAACAGTAGTAAAGGCCACCCAATCACTTGACTTTCCAGCTACAGTGTGAGATACCCCTAGCACCTGGATATATCCCCCTTTCAGCTGCCATGGACACAGGAAGCCCCAAACTAGCGGATGCATTTCAACAACTGTGCTTAATAAGTCCCAACAGTCACACCTCTCCTTCTGCCCAAATTTTTCCAGTCCTCCTTTGACCCTCACTTGCACTCTGATTCCTACAGTGCCTGACAGCAGCAAGCTCCTCATGCTGCCTGAAGCGCTTCCTCAGCCATGCCTGACTAATTGCATCGCTTGCTCCCCAGAGCTGGTATGATGAGAAATAGTTTGCTTCCAGTTCACCTTCTTGATTCCACTGGTGGTCCTGTAGACCCAAGCTGTGTTCACCTCCCTTCTGCTGCGTTGTTTACATCTGCTTTTTCAGCCTGTTTTTACAGGCACGATTGTAGTACAAAACTGTTCCTGTCTGTGTTTAACTCTTCCTCCTCCTCTCCCATTGTAGCTGGAACATCAGCTACAGTCGCTGAACTCGGAGCAGCTGGAGACCCGCGTGCAGAACGAAAGGCTCCGCCACCTGAATGAAAACCTGCTGGAAGAGCTGGAGAAAAGCAAATGGGAGCTGGAGGCAGTGAAGGGGCAGTTACAGAAGCTCCAGAAAGAGGCTCAGCTTGAGCAAGAGCAGAAGGACAGGTGGGAAGGGTAGGGAAGGGGGTGTCAGGGCAAGGATCCAGGCAGAGAAGGAAGGATGGGCAAGTAGTTAAAGAATAAGGATCTCTAATTAGAAGCCTTAGTCTCGTCAGAGGATTGCTTGTCTCTTCTTGAGGAAAAGTAGTAACATCACAGCGATCTTATGGGCCTGAACAAGGAGTGATACTGCTACCTCCCACCTGCCTTTAATGGGAAAAGAATATGTTCATTGATGTCTGGCTAGAAAAGCACTGTAAAAAACACAGATGTTCCTCAGCCTAAAGGAGGCTTCTCCTCCATGTATTTTCCAGTTCACCATTGCCTCTATAAAGTTCCTACAGATCATCTTCTAATCACTTGTGTTTCTCTTTCTGGGCTTAATCTAATAATATGTAGCTAAAACATTGGGATGTTTCAAATCCAGATGAGCATCCTTCCCATCTCTAGCAGCTGAGGAAACTGGAGCATGAAAGGAGAAAATGGGTTGCCTGCCCTCATGTTGGAGGAGAGCGGGAGAGCTGGGGTACAACCCAGTCATCCCAGCTCCGGCAGCAGTGCTGCTTCCTCTGAATCCTGCTAGCATAGGCAGGCCCTTATCTTTGAGAATACCATGAGTGTCCCTGAGAAAGGGATCTTTGTATTTCCTCTCCTATTAACTTATTTCCCCTTTTAAAATCCTACGTGTTTAGAGTCTCCAAGAACATGCAGAAAGAGAAACAAAGCCTTCTTCGGCAGCTGGAGCTCCTCAGGTAAGAACAGGGCTGGGGGAAATGCTGAGCTCCTGGGCACGTAAGAGCCTGAGGTTCCAGCACTGTGCTCACTTCTCCAACAGAAAGCTGTGGGAGTGTATTCAAGCAGTGCTCAGACACTGCTTGGTTTTTTTAGGTCCAGACAGAGTTGTGCAAACTGGCCAGCTCTGGCAGAGTACAGGCTGTGTTATTTCACCAAGTAATCCCTCCATTGGGGGAATTTAGTGTTTCCTGCTGGCTAAGGGGACCAGGTGGAGCCCATTACCTGAGCTGGGATACATGGAAACGTCTGGAAAAAAAATAACATCTTTACCTGTGTCTCAAGCTCCCTTTCTGTTCTAGTTTTCAAATGTTGGTCTTTACTCTGTTTTTGATGGGTGCTTCATTGTGTCTCTCCTGTGTCTTCCTTTGGAGCAGAGAGATGAACAAGAAACTTCGAGATGAGCGAGACGCTTTTGAAGCCAAGAAGCTGGTTAGTCTAAGAAAGAAAATCCTAATTCCCAACCACCCTCCTGTCATCTGCTGCTGTTGCTGTCACCACTTGGGGGCCTGTCATTTCCACGGGGAGCAATGACCTGAGTTCCTGAGCCCTGGTGTGGTGCTCAATACAGACTTCGCAGCACCCTCTGCCCGTGCTGGAGACAAGCTCTGCTGGTTGCTGTTGCCACCTGCCGGGGTTTCACCTGGGGCATGTTAGCTTGTGACTGTCACACAGCCCCACCAGGGCTGCAGTGGGTGCTGCCTGCTGCGCACATGGGGTCTGTGCTTTGTGACAGGCACTGGGCACCTGCAAGGATGGGAGTGGGGATGGATGCTTCCCTGGAGCTGGGTGGTGAGGAAGAAGATGGATTCCCAGATGTGCTGCCGGCTGACTGGGGGTAGAGGGGCACAGGATGGTTTTGGAGTTTCTCTGATCCCTTAAGTTTGTAGCAGATGTTTTCAGATGTTCCTCTGGGGCAGCTCCCCATTCCTGTGAACTCTGCTGGGGTGGAGGTGCAGCAGTGAGCCTTGTGTCAGAGGGCTAGGAGAAAGCAGGGGCCCTCTAACATCTGCAACAGTCAACTCCATCTCTGGCCCTTCCCAGTCTCCAAGATAAGTACAAATATGTGATCTATTTTTAATTCTTACTATTTTTTCATGAAAAAGTCTTTGTGTTCCCAAATGTCACTGGCAAGGCTGCTCTGTGCTCTTCTTGGATCCATCCCTGCCACCGTGTGTCTTTGCCTGCTCTGCCACTATGCCACACTTGGAGAGCTGGAAGTAGCTGCCCTGCAGTGTGGGCAGGCAGTGGTGGGCTGTGAGAGACTTTCTGGCTGGTGTGTAAGGGAACATGGAAGGAAGCACAGGGGCCATGCCCAGATAGGGAATGAGATGCCCTGCTGGGGGAGAGGCTGGAGTTCTCCAAGTAGAGCAGCAGCTGTGTAAAAGAACTTCAGTAAACGTTTTGGATGCCCGCGAGATGTGTGTGCACGTGCCTTTGTGTGTGTGTTTCTGAAATCTGAAAGAAGATTTTTTTTTTCCTCTTCTTCCCTGCCTCCTCCTCCACTTTTTAAAGCTGCTAAGTACGTGTATGTGCACCAGAGCTTCCTGCTCCCTCTTGGAGAAGTAATAAACACAGTCACTCCATAGCAGAGCCCAGTGCAAACAGGCAAAGAAAATGGTTTCTTCTCTTTCCATGCATAGTACTTCAGTAGCTTCTGGGTTCCTGCAGGTGGGGAAGGTGGCCCATGGAGACCACAGTTCAGATACGTACCTCTGTGCGTGCAAATCTTGTATGCTTCTCCTCTGTTCTCCTCCCCTTTTCTCCTGCTAGGACCTGCTCAGGGCTGCTCTGAAACATGGCAGTTGCAGGTGGACTTAAGAGAGAGCCCAGCAGAGAGAGTCATAGTGCAGAGGAGCTGCTTTCTCCCTTCTCCCTGTGCCGGCAGTAGGGAATGGGGTAGCAGGGTCAACTCCTCCTACCATCATTGCTTATCTGGCAAGGCTGTGCCGTGCTGGGCAGACGAAGCCTGTACTAGAGTAAGGTGTTTTTCCTTTGTCAGCCATGACGTCTTTTGTTGGCGACTCTCATGCCAGTCTGTGAGAAAGCAGGGCTTCAAGGGGTTGCAGAGATGCTGCTATCACCAAACACCTGCAGAAGATCTGCTGTCCAGCCTGTGCCACCGAAAGGGAGAGAAAATAGCAATACTTTCCTGCAGCAGCAAAAGGAGAGTCTGGCCTTCTGATGGGGATCCTTAGTGTGTGACATGCTTTCCACCAGGGACTATCAGTGCTTTTACAGGCTAAAGAGAAACCCAAGGCCTTAATACCCTCTGTTAATGCTGGGAAGAGTTGTGTTATTTCTGTGAAATAAAGGCGTGATGAACAGTGGTTCTTTCCTAGCGAAGACTTTGAAGTGGTTGGGAGAAGGAGCTGGGCTGTACATGGTTGATAGCAAGCCAGCCACTGCTCCTTTGCACTTCTCAGTGCCCAGCTTAATACCTTGCTCTTCATAAGAGTTTCTGGCCGTGCCAGGGTGGGCAGACCCTGGCCCTATGGCGCTGCGGGGCACTGTTTGCCCCAGTGGCTAGGTCACAGATAGCAATGTGTGGCTATTTCTGCCTGTGTGCAAGTCACTGCTGGGCGCTTTTAAGAGCCAGGGATTGTGTGTTCATTTTCACACCTGTGACCCATCTGGCTACGGAGTTATGCTTGCATGCTGTATGTTGACAGAGCAAATTTCATGTCTGCTCATCATGAAGAGTGTTTTGGGACTTTGACTGCATTAGACACGTATTTGTATTTCACTGATAAACCAGAATCTTTCCCATCCAAAACGCCTGTACATGTGCTGTTGTTGTGGAAGACTTGCCATCGTGTGTTGTACAGCTGTGATGTCGCGTCTCTCCCTTTACCATCACGGTGAAGAGCCAAATGTTACACAGACTTGGCAGGCCAATAAAGCATGGCAGAACCAATGGCAAAACATGCCCTGTTGTTTTTCCTTTCTTACCCAGGTACGTATTCCACAGGCTATTTCCTCTCCAGGTAGGGTGTTTCCATAGCAGATTACCTGGTAGTCCTATTGCTCCACATGTGACTTGAAGGTTACAACTCAGCTCCAGTGGGCTGTAACACAATTTCCTTGTTTCTGTGTGTCTAGAGTGAACCTGCTCAACCCCTGAAAACTCCCTCCTCCATCCCCACTGGAGGACCACTGGTTGGCTGAACCACAGTCTGGTATCAGTGTTGACTGAAGGGTTGCTATGCACTTGGGGGTGCTTTGCCTTGGAAGATATGTGCTCCACAGTTGTGAGCCTCTCAGTGCTGGATTGTTTCTGTGGTTGGAGCTTCTCTTGAATACCAGTTTTACATGTAAAAAATGTTTGGGCTTTGTTTGCTTTTTCCCCCCTCAAAGTTTCTAGTTGGGTGAAGCCCTCTGTGGTGTCCAGAGTGTCTCCTTTTGTTGCACTGCATTGTGGTAAAGGTGTCCTGGGAGTTCTGGCCAACAGAGCAGCTTCTTAATTTTATTCCTTTTAAAATAAGCCAGAGGTTATTGAAGAAATAATCTTCGTAGTCTTCCTCTGGACTGTGGGCAGCACGAAGGAAGGTGTCCAGAGCTACCTGCAGGTGGTTGGTCAGTTCAAAACTGCTGCCAGAGGCAGATCTGGCAGGCTGCAAACTCTTCTTTCCTCACCTTTACCCCCAGAAATAACTTGTGAGGACGTGTCGGAAGTCTCCAGACTTACAGAGCGAGTACGTCTTCCCTTCCCCCAGCGCCGAGGCGATGAGTGCCTTGCCATGCTGCCTCTCCCTCCGTGTTTTGTGTGTGGAGCCAGAGCAGGTAGCCATTCCATTGCGGGATGAGGAGAGGCTAGGCTTTAGCATGGCATTTGGAGGAGCTGGCAGGTCAATCCTCTCCCTGCCACAGGCTTTCCTGCATGATCTCAGGCAAGTTGGTCATCTTTGACTCCGCTGGGGATGACAAAGCTGCTGTATGGAGGGAAGAGGGTTGTAAGAGGAGTTGTCCTGCTTTCTCCTCTGGGGAGCAGGTAAACATTGGCTGTAGGAAGTGTGTAGTCTGAGGTAAGTAGGAGAAAAGCATGGAGAGGGATGTTCGTGTAAGGCAGAGCATGTGCATTGCCCTTTGCAGAGCGATCTCCTTTTCCTATGGTGCACGTGCAGCTCTGAGTGATTACCAGTGGAGGAGGGGTACTAGTGCCTTCTGAGGAAGGGGCAATTGGTCTGTCCCACAAAACATCAGCATAATAAAAAGGCAGGTGGGGAAAGAGAGATTCAGCTGTGAGACCAAGTGGAGAACAAGCCACAGAAATAAAAGCTCTGGCTGGCTAGAGGAGGAGTTCCGTTTAGGGCACCACCGTTTTTGATGGATTTTGTTGCAAAGGGGAAAGTGGCAACAGCAATGCCCTCTTGCATGAGTTAAATGAGCTGAACTGGGAAAAGCAAGCCCTGTGCTCACCTCTGCTCAAGCCTGCTGGTGGGGTACTACCACCTGCACAGTGCAGGGCTGCAAGGGCTCCATCATTGCCTCCCGAAAGTGGTCTGCGGAGGTGGCAAGTGGTTGAACTGGGGCTGGTCAGGTCCCTGGGTCCTAATTGCATTCTTCATCCCTTCTCTTTTCAACTTCCAGGTGCCTCAGAGCAAAAAGCCCCTGTTGAAGAAAGGGTCAGTGCTAGGCAATTACCCGCTGGACGACAAGCCGGTCAAACGGTTAGATGGGCATCTGTGTTGTGTTTGTGGTGTCAGTTTGTGCCCACTGGAGTACCCTGTCAGTCAAGCTGTGTCCTGTGTCTAGTTCTCCCACCTTGGTGCTGGCTGGTTTTGGAAGCGTGGGGTGGGGGGATGGGTGCAGCTTGACTGTGGCTCGAGCTGCCTCTTGGCATCAGTGGTATTGGCTCTGATGGTGTTGGGAAGCTGATTTCCACAGGGGGGTGGCCCCCTTCTGGGCTGCTTCTACATGCAGCAATGGGGGAGCAAACCTAAATGCTATCAGAAGCTATTGGAGTGTTCATGGGATGGGAGTCACAAAGGCTGCCTCTGACCAAGTCGGGCAGCTCTGTTAAAATGACTGGATCATCTCCCAAGTATGCCAATTCCTCCTCGGTCAGAAATCCTGTCCACTGGCACCTCATGCCAGAGCCCATATCCCTGGGGCATGGGAGAGGGCAGGAGTTGCACAAGACTTAAGTTCTCTCTGGCAGCTGAAAGCCCCAAGGAGAGGGCCCAGCTCCAAGTGCGTTCATCCTGCCCATCTCCCTCCACACTGCGCAGATGCTCACCTGGCACATCATGCCTCCCCTTCGGCCAGGGCAGGCGAACATGTCTGTGTGGCCAAGGCCTTTTTTTTTTTTCTCCCCACTCTACACGGCGACTGTATGGTGGCTTCAATACCCACGTACGCCTGCTTGCCTGAACTGTGCTTGCATTAAGCATCAGCCCTTGCAAACTAGTTGTGTGACCACAACAGCAGTATTGGCCAAAAGCCTGGTTCCTCTGAGAGGCAAGGGAGACCAGCCTAGCCCTGACCTGGCTTGGAGCTGGATCTTCCTTGCAACTGCTGGCCTCAAACAAGTTTTAAAAGCAGCACACTTCCCTGTTTCCTACCAGGTCTCTACAGAAGTTTCCACTGCTTCCCAGTTTCTCTTGGTGCCAACCAGTGACATAGGTCTAGGCTCAGAGTTTCTTCTAGCTTCAACTCATTCTTAATGTTTGCAGTTCTGGTAGTGACATTTAAGAACTGAAGTTCAGGATCCTGGGCTCATGAACTGATGGAAAACCAGATGAACTGTGGAGCATTGCTTGAGAAACATGAATAAAATCCATTAGATCTGGAGTCACTGCTCAGAAAGTTTGTGTTTGTCCCTTTCTGCCCCCTCCTTGGAGAGGCTTTTCAGTCAGCCTCTCATTGCTGCGACTCCTGCCAGCCCTGGGAGATGGGAGCTGTTCCCTGGAGCCTGACCCTGGGAGGATGTGTCTATTTTCCCCGGGAAAACGTTCCAGTTGGGCTGGCATTTAGGGCAGGTGCAGGGAGGACAACCAGGAATGCGAGCTCCCTGTCACAGAAGAAGTGAAGGCATGGCAGCAGGTGAATTCTGCAGCCCTGATGAGGTGTACTCGCAGGAGTGAGAAAGGAGAGTTCTCGCCTTGATTCTGGCACTAGTAGCAAGAGAAAAACATTGCAGAGAGGTGGGATGTGTTGCCTCTGAAGAGACTGAGTGTGGTGAGCCAATTAGTTCTCTCTAATTTGCTTTCAAATGCAATCTTGACAAGGCAAGGGAGATATCCGTGGTGGATAAAGCCCTCCAGTTGAGTTCTAACTCCCTTTGTCTAGTTCTTTAACCATGGAAAGCCAAGGCAGAGCTAAGATGCCGCCTCGCTCCTCAGCACTGATTCTAGTAGTTTAAATTGGTTATTCTAGGTGTTCTTTTGAAGATTGTTCCTCGCCTTACCATGTCAGCTCTAGCCCCAGTGAACAAAGTGCATCAGCCTGCTCTTGTGTAGGCACAGTCTGTGCAACACCTATTCCCCGCTACTACAGCTTGAGCAAGAGGTCCTGAGGATTTCTTGCTGTTGAGAGCGCAGCGTGGCTGGTTGGAAGCTTTAAAAAATGAACATCTTTTGGTCCTGAGGCCAGAGCAGAGCCAACACCAGGCACAGTGGCCCTGGTCTGCAATTCGCACACCCGTGGCAGGTTTCTGCTGCCTGAACTCAGTAAGACTCTGCTAGGGCAGTGTTTGGAAATGATGGGCTGGCTTTCTGGAGTGTGGTTATGCGCTTTCTGCAGAGGGCAGTAATGTTTGTGCACACTGCATGCAGCCTCCCGAGGATGATCAGCCAGCCCTCACCCTACTACCTGCAGTAAAAACCCTTTTCACTAACCTCAAAACCTTTGTCACTTCTTTTTGTGTTGTATTCAGTAACAAAAATAGAGGAGAGGTTGTTCCTTTTTTTTTTAAAAAAAAAGTTTTTTCCTGTTGCCACCTTTGTATGTTTTGCCTCATTTTTCAGTACCGAGGGAAGTAGGAGGCAAAGAATCCTTGAAAAATCCAGAAGGTGGGAATTTTTATTAAAATTAATGAAATATGTGTCAGCACATATAAGTACAGCATAGCTTAGGTGAGCCGTAAACTTTCCCTAGGGGTGCTGCTGATGCCTTAGTCACAGGGAGTATGGAGAGTGTATGTATGTATGAAGTAGAGTTCCTGCAAGTGCTGCATATGCACTAATTGGATCACATTGGTTGTTTTGGGAATTTGCAACCTCCTCCTCTTCCCCTTACCCCCTATCCTCTCACCCTATTTGTGGTGCCTGTGGACTTTACTACAGACAACTGGCCTCTGCAGACCTTCCCTTCACCTTCCTGGTGGATGTGGCAGTGGAAGAACCCAACAGAAAGAACTGTAAATACTTCCCAGGCAACAGGACATGGCTGAAAACAGGAGAAGGAGACAGCACAAACTTCGGAGAGGAGAGCAGAGACAAGAAGAGATGGTCATTGGCAGCAAATGCTGAGTGGTCAAAGATTGCTTTGAAGGGTGATGCTGACTGTAGAAAAAATGCAGATGGATTAGATGATGCTCCGTTGCCTCCTAGAGGACAGCCTGTTGGCACAGAAACCAGGGTGAGTCTAATTACTTCAGATTCTACCTCAAACACCTGCTACCAAGGACTCAAGGGTTTCTGACTCTTCCCATCTAACTCCAGCTCCGTAGGTTTATAGTGCAGGGGTCCAACGCCTAAATCAAAGCACAGTCTGCAGCTGGACTTTTCAAACCTGCATCCCTTTCTTCCATTGTAGCTCCAGGCATTGGAACCAGCCAGCTGCTCCCCAGACCGTATCTTTAAAGTGGTGTTTGTAGGGAACTCTGGTGTTGGGAAGAGTTCCTTCATCCACCGCTTCTGCTATGACAGGTTCTTGGCTGAGCTCAATGCCACCATTGGTAAGTAATAGGGTTCCTGACTCACCGGGCTAAGAGGGTGGGAAGGTCAGCCTGGACGCATGCTTTTTGCCTGTCTTTTAGCCCCAATAAAAGCTGGTCCCTCTCCCAGTTTTGAATCAATCTTGCAATTTCCCTGAACTAAATAGTGTTGATCTTGGCCATTGCAATAGCAAGCTGCTCTCTCCCCATCCTATCTTATGATCATTGTTACCTTCCTGACAGGTATCGATTACCAGGTGAAGAGTCTGATGGTGGATAATACCCAGGTTGCCTTACAGCTGTGGGATACAGCTGGACAAGAAAGGTAAGAAATTTTTCTGGGAGGATGCCCTAGTGCCAGGCTCGGTGTAGGAAACAGGAGGAAAGCCCACGAGTGCCTGGTTTCAGTCTCTGGGAAAATTGTTAGCTTCAGAAGGACCAGAGAGGTTGCAGCAGCTATTCCAGTGCTGAACCTGCAGCAGAGGTCTGTTTCAGAGATTTCTAGAAGCTGTGGCTGCGAAGCAGGGCCTGGGGAGATTGCACCAAGGACTGATGGAAAAGTAGTTTTCTGTATGTCTGACCTGCAGGCTTGTGGCTTCAGGTAGTCTATCCATAAATCACTGCGCGGTGTGGGGTTCGATGCTCCTCTAGCCCTCAAAGCTCTCCTGCATCAGCCTGCAGGAAAAGCAGCCAGGACATCAGCCAGGGAAAAGCTGCAGGACAGGGCTGTAGATTTGGATAGAAGCAAAGGCTCTGGATAGACATCCTGTTCTCAGATTCAGTTGTGCTACTGCTGTCCTTAGCTGCTCACCACCACTTGCTGTTCAGAGGGTGGAAAGGAGGGTGTGAACCTTTCCAGATCTGATTCAGACAAAGCCAGATGAGTTAGCATGATCTGCGGCGAGGGCGATTTGAACTACCCTGGCTGGAACCTGTCAGTGAGGTTATTGGCCACTTCCACTGTCCCTTCTGCTGATAGACCCGTGGAAGTGATAATCCTTGATAGAAGGGCAGTGTAGCTTTTTGCAGCAGTCAATACAGGTTCCCCATTTGAAGGCCTCTAGTTTCAAAAGCATGGGCCATCACTAGATGTTACTAGCACTGTTGGTGAGGATCAGAGTAGTAGAGGACACACTTGACTCTCATCTGCTACTAGAGATGAAGGCCCACCACTACCTTCATGTAAATTAGATTTTTATTTAGGATGCGCTTTGACACTGAAGCTGAAAAGCTATTTAAGAAGGCCGTTAAGAGCCTGGTAAAATAAGTACTGGGTATTTTGGGCTAAATACATTATAGGGACAGGCCTACAGGAGGCAGCTGAGGTCATGGGAATAGTATAATCCTAAAATGTGCCAACAGAATAATGATGCTGTCTCTCTCAGTCAGGTAGACCATGCAGACCTGGTAGGAATGTACTAAGTAGGAGTATCTATTGAAAAGCAAACTATTTCTTCCAAAATAGGGCTTCATGCTGAAGAACTAATGATTTTTGAGAGGACTCCTGTGGTTATTTCAGTGCTGAAGCTGAGCAGTAAGGGGATTTGTTATGACATGAAATGTGACATTCTACTGAGGCCAAATTGCATCAGAGGCTAAATTCAAGATATTGTCTCTGCAGAAGGACCTTTAGGGTAGGCCCCTGCAGCATTAGCAGGTCTTAGACATGTACTTGCAAGAGAGAACTTGGCTCAGTGCTAATACTGAATAGGAGACCTGGGAAGAAGCAAAAGCTTTTCTTACTTCTAGAAACATATTGATTACTTCTAACTGGAGATGTTCAGCTGTGTATATACTACGGAAGAGATAGATGAACCCCTTGGAGCATGCAAGAACTCCTTGGTGACTTCCTGAGACCGGGGCACACTACATTTGATGTTTCTCTTAGAGCATCTCGCCTGTCCTGTAGTTCCAGAGGTGCACCTGGACTGCCAGAGATGGTCTGTGCTTTCTCGGTTGAGTAGTTGCCAGAATGTCATGCCCTTACTGTAGAGGGAAAGAACAGACTTCAGGCAGCCATCTGAAGAGTTCAGGAGGGTTGCTACTTGCTGGAGGTTTTCTTGGCTCTTAATAGAATGGGAGAGCTTGTTATTCTGTGCAGGGCTGAAAGACACAGCTCTCTAGTGACATCTCAGTACTTGTGTTGCATTTAATTCCATCAGTTTGCAATCAGTGTGGTTGTATCATGGCCCTGTCACAAACTGCTTGCAGATTTTAAGGTTTGTTTTTTGTTGTGGTTTTTTTTTGTTGTTGTTGGAATTTATTCCCAGAATACAAGTCTGTGGTTCTAACTGGTACCCACAGGACAGAGTAGATGTCTGGTGGGAGTTTCTCCTGGAAATTGTGTCTAATTGCAGATTTTATGTATGATGGCATTGCTTTATAGATTCAAAACTGGAAACAGACTGTATTGATGCTGAGATCTTAATTGCTATTTTGGCAGCACTGGGGCAGACATTATGCACGGCTGGTTTATGCTGTGGTACAGCTTAGTCTGCAGATTCTTCCAGACTCTAGAAAAAGGTCATGTTTTTGCCATCCATTTCCCTTTTTACAGACAATTACCTTTTCCTATCCCACCTAAACAGATTCTTCTGTTTCTTTCTTCATGACCTGCTAAGGTCTTCCTTCCTGCTTTCTCAGCACTGTGCATTTGGAAAGACTCCTGCTTACCCGTGGCTGCCTGGCCCACCTCAAAGGCACAAGGATCCGACCCGTCTGTCACCAGTCTGTACATGCCAGCCCCAGGGGACACATCTCACACACTCGGGCTGCCAGGCCTTGCAGAGAGCCCGCTCTGAAAGACAGATAACACCGTTCTGTTTCTTGTCATTACACTGCCGTGGTTCTGAGAGTGCCTTTGGTTTCGTTTGGGCTCAGGTTTCGGAGCATTACCAAGCAGTATTTCCGGAAGGCGGATGGGATTCTGGTGATGTACGACATTACGGCTGAGTGCTCCTTCATGGCGGTGCGGAACTGGATGAGCAGTGTCCAGGTGAGAGCGGGACCTCAGCTCTCTAATGCTGGTGGTGCTGCTGCTGCCTCTGCTCCAGACCAGCTCCAATAGTCTGTCTGGGAGCGATGTTCTCCGATGCCTCAGGAGGTCCTATTGACTTTAGGAAGATGAATTATCAGAGCAGGTGCTATGGGTACTGACTGTGGTAGTCAGTCTGGGACCAGGGGCTTCTTGTTGAAGATATCAAAGCCAGTGGTAGCCTGTTAAATGAGGGAGGGCTGTTTTGGGACCCACCACAACAGTAGTGTGTGTTTGTAAGCAGCCCATGTGCATTGGCAACATCTCCTAAACGTGGTCACGTCACACCTGTGCTCAGGCAAGGACATCTCCTGGTGTCCAGCCTATGCACAGGAAAAGGAGGCAGCCCTGATGTTTTTAGGCTCCGACCTGCAGCATGTAAGCACAGTGCTTCACCCAATCACGTCCTGACTCTGCTTTGAGATTTCTGGATGAGACAGAAATATTAGTAAGAGCTTTTTTTTTCTCCTCATTTGCTTCAACTTTAACAGTTGATAATTTTTTCTTTTCTTTTTTATTTGTGACTGTGTATTAACACTGTAGTTTGCCCCCTGCTTTTTATTTCCAAACTCTCAATAAAAGCATTCATCTGTGGCTTGTATCTGCTTGGGGAGACAAAAATACCTGTCTGTATAATTTAAATAAGTTGTGTGTAGATGACTCAGAGCTATAGGGAATTTGTCAAGGGTGGTTGTGTTTTGATTGTGCTGAGTCTCTGTCGTAGTTTTTGGACTGAGGGTCGAGAC